GTATAATGCTTGCACATCACTAGCACAAAGTTGACACAGTGGATGACAGTGTAGCACACTAATTCAATCATAGCGGAGAGGTAGCAGTAGATAATGTGAGGAGGGTACTAGGGAGTAGTAGAGAAAGTGGTGAGAAAGGGGTAGAAGAGAGGGATGATGATGCTGGGGAGGTGAAGGACGAAGAGGAAGGGAAAGAAAGAGTAGAAGGGTGAGTGTTGCGCTCGGCGCGACCTATTCGACCCTTACACATTCACACAGCCAACGACCTCCTACAGGTTCTGATTTTTGTCCTATGAATGTGTTCGAAACAGCCTAAGTGTCGTCCGTCCGGAAAAAATTTGTCATCGTCTATTCCGCCGCATTAGTTGGGTACGGCATGTGGCTCGGGGATATTTCCCTCCTGTCGTGTTCTACTCTGAATGTTGCTGGCCTCAAAAGCTCTCCCGACCAAAGACCAGGAGGAAATGATTCTAAAATCGCACGAGTCGTCACGGGTGCTGACTCCAGGACCCACGGAGGACCCGCCTGGTCCTCCACGCGCTGGTCATGGCGCTTATGAACCAGACCGTGGCATGGACAGCATTCAGTCCTCTTCGGCTATGGACCCAGTACCTTGCCCTCAGCAAGTACCCGAGGCGGAACCGGCAGCCCCTCCTGGCGCAACACCGTCGCTCCACCTGAGGCGGCGAGCCGGAGTTGCAGGAGATGTACGCGCGAGTAAAGGACGCTGGCCAGCCCATCGACTTCAACGCGACCAGGCGGCCTGACACGAGCTTTTAAACTGCTTCGACCCTCACGGCAACCGAATCGTATCCTTCTTCCAGCACCTGCACGACGAGGAAGCCCCTCGGCTTCTGCTACGACCGCCGCGGGTCCCGATCCCTACTAAACTGGAGAGCCGCGCCCGCCGACTAGGTCAGTACAACTGGTGAACTGCAGGGGCGCTGGGGAATATCCCAGCGCCTCTTTCGTAAATTCCAATCGTGGGAGTGCTCCCGATGACTAGTATCCAGCGCAGCGAGCTACCCTTTCTCAGCGTGGCAGAACTGGGGCGGCTGATCCGGACGGGGGAGGTATCTCCAGTCGAGGCCACCGAGGCCTTCCTGGAGCGCATTGACCGGATTGACGGGCAGGTGAACTCCTACATCACCGTATGCCGCGAGGAGGCTAGGCAGGCAGCGCGTGAGGCCGAGCAGGCCATCGCCGCCGGGCAGTACCGGGGGCCGCTGCACGGCATACCGGTGGCGGTGAAGGACCAGTTCGACACCGCCGGCATACGCACCACCTACGGCTCGGCCCTGGAGTGGGACCACGTTCCCAATGAGGATGCGGTGGTGGTTGCGAAGCTGAAAGAAGCCGGAGCAGTCCTGCTGGGCAAGCTGAACCTGTCGGAGTTCGCGCTGGGCGAGAGTTTCCATCACCCGGCGGGGCAGCCGCGCAACCCGTGGGACCTGTCCCGCAATCCCGGCATCTCCAGCAGCGGCTCGGCCGCGGCCACGGCCGCCTTCCTGTGCGCCTCGGCGCTCGCCGAGGACACCGGCGGCTCCACGCGGATCCCGGCGGCGTGGAGCGGACTAACTGGACTGCGGCCCACCTGGGGGCTGGTAAGCCGTCGCGGCGTGGCGGGGGTGTCGTGGTCCATGGACACCGTGGGCCCGATTACGCACTCCGCCGAGGACTGCGCCCTGACCTTCCAGGCCATCGCAGGCCACGATCCGCAGGATCCGTACTCGTGGAGCGGACCAGTACCTGACTACGCACGGGAACTACAGGGAGGCGTCGACGGGATGCGGGTCGGCGTGCTCCGGGAGAAGGTGGCCGAGGGCGGGCTGGAGCCGCAAGTGCGTCAGGTCATCGAGTCGGCTGTCGCACAACTCGGGGAACTGGGCGCGACGGTGCAGGAAGTCTCCATCCCAATCGTCGAGAACGCCGGTGCCGTTTCCAAGTGCATCACCGACATGGACGGTGCAGCCGTCCACTACGAGCGCCTCAAGACTAGGATCGCCGAGTACGACCACAATACGCGAGTGCGGCTGCTCACGGCCATACTCACCCCGGCACAGGCTCTCTACAAGGCGCAGAAGGTGAGGACGCTGATTCGACAGGCGGTGCTCGAGGCTCTGGACGAAGTCGACGTCATCGTCCTGCCCACGTCGCCCACGGGAGCACCGCTGCTGCCAACGGAGGCGGGTATCAAGAGCCAGGATGACGCACGTAGCCGCATCTCAGGAGTGAGGAACTTCACCGGGGCGTTCAACGTGGCGAATCTGCCCGCGCTGTCCATCCCCTGCGGGTTCACGGAGGACAACCTACCGCTGTCGCTGCAGATCGTGGGAAAGCCAATGGCAGACGGCCTGCTGATGCGCGTAGCCCACGCCTACCAGCAGGTGACGGACTGGCACTCGCGCAGGCCGCCGCTGGGAGATTGAAGATTAAGGAGATTGTTCCAGCAACTTTCCCTCTAAATCTCGGCTGCTATTGACAACATAAGCTATCTCAATTTGGCCTTCCAGAGGAAAATAAAAGATAGTGTAGGCAGGGTTCGGTAATATAAAGCTCCGGATTCCAACCAGATACTCGCTACGCTCTCTGCCCATTAGAGGGAATTCCGCTAAAAGCTCAAACCTGTAGTGCAGCCGAGCAATGACTTGGTTCGCCAGATGTTGACCGCTGAGATCATCGTAATATCTCCAAATGTCCGCGAGGTCCCTTCGGGCGGTTCGAGACAGTAAATAGGACGCCATCAGCCAACAAACGCCTCATTGCGAGCGGCTTCACGGTTCCGTCGTTCCCGCCCAAACTGACTGATGTCTGCGACCAGTTCGGCAGCCGTTTCATATTTTGTAAAGCGGCCATTTCGCAGGTCATCCACACCCTGCATCACTTTCGACCGAATTTCTGCCAGTTCCTTTTCGATTGCAGGGTCCGTGTCTGCCAAATCACGCTCTTCAAGCAGTGCTAACGCCCGGGCGATTACAGCGTCAGCCGATGGGTAGCGTCCTGAATCTACTACACGACGTATGTGGTCTAAATATTTTTCGCTGACATTAATTTCCATGACTTGATTCTCCTCTGTAACCAAAGCATACCCACATTCCACCACCACAGCAACGCTATCCACGCCCCTTGCGCCCCTGCGTGCGATAGCCCAAAATCGCCACAGCCTTCTATGGGGAGCCTCGATATGGACAGTCTGATTGCCCGTGCGTTGGACACCGCGGCGGCGCGGGGTGCGACCTACGTCGACGCGCGGATGGTGGAGACAGCTCAGGAACGCTACTCGGTTCGGACCGGCGTGGTGGACGTGATCAGCAACGACGAATCGGTGGGCATGGGAGTGCGGGTCGTGGTGAACGGAGCGTGGGGATTCGCGTCTACCAACACCATGACTGCGGAGGCTGTCGACCGGGCCGCAGCGCTGGCGGTGGAGATAGCCAAGGCTTCAGCCACCTCCGGCGGGCCGAAGGTGGAATTGGGGCCGCCCGTAACCAGCCGGGGGGTCTACACCACACCGGTTGAGGTCGATCCATTCAGCATCGCACCCGAGGAAAAGCTGGCGCTGCTGCTGGACACCGACGAACGGATGGCCCGCGTCGAGGGGATCTCCGCACGAACGGGCAACTTGATATTCATCCGCGAGCGCAAGGCCTTCGCCAGCAGCGAGGGCGCCAACGTGGAGCAGACCATCTACGAGGCCGGCGGCGGCATCCAGGCCACCGCGGTGGGTAGCGGAGAGGTGCAACGCCGCTCTTACCCCCAGTCGATGGGGCGCCAACAGGGTTGCGCTGGTTGGGAGTATGTGCGGGACTTCGACCTCACCGGAAACGCCGAGCGGGTCGCCAGCGAGGCTGTCGCCCTGCTCACCGCCGACCGCTGCCCTTCAGACATTACGACCACGCTGATTATCGGCGGCTCACAGGTGGGACTGCAGATCCACGAGTCCTGCGGCCATGCCATCGAGTTGGACCGCGTGCTCGGATCGGAGGCGGCATACGCTGGCACTTCATTCCTGACCACCGAAAAGTTGCGCGACTTCCGTTACGGCTCGGAGCAGGTGAACATCACCGCCGACAGCATCCGCCTGCCCGGCCTCGGCTCCTTTGGCTGGGACGACGAGGGCGTTCCGGCACAGTCAACGCCCGTGGTGGAGGCAGGACGATTCGTCGGCTATCTTATGTCAAGGGAAACGGCCGCCACCCTGGGGCTTGAGTCCAACGGCACCATGAGGGCGTCGTCCTGGAACCGGTTGCCGCTTATCCGCATGACCAACGTCAGTCTGGAGCCCGGCGAGTGGGAGCTGGATGACCTCATCGCCGACACCGACGACGGCATTTTCGTCGACATGAACCGTTCCTGGTCCATTGACGACCGGCGCTACAACTTCCAGTTCGGTACCGAGGTGGGCTACGAAATCAAGAACGGCAAGCTGGGGCCGGCTGCTGCGCAACTGCACCTACACCGGCATCACGCCGGAGTTCTGGAACTCCTGCGACGCCGTGTGCAACGCCAACCACTGGACCATGTGGGGAACGCCCAACTGCGGCAAGGGGCAGCCGGGCCAGATCGGCCACACAGGACATGGTGCCGCCCCGGCCCGCTTCCGCAACGTGCGCGTGGGGGTAATGCGATGATCGGCGAGGATGCGGCCCTCAACCTGTTGGAGCGCGCTCTGTCTTTGTCCACAGCGCAGGAGGCCGACGTATACCTGAGCAGCCAGGACCTGGGGCTGACCCGATTCGCAGGCAACGCCATCCACCAGAATGTTTCCCACAGCAACGTCACCCTCAACATCCGCGCCGTAGAGGGGAAGCGGGTGGGACGGGCCACAACCAACGACACATCGGACGATGGCATCCGACGAGCAATGGAGGCGGCAAGACGCAACGCCCTCCTGATGCCCGAAGACCCCGCCTTCCCCGGACTACCTGAGCCGCAGGCGGTGCCACGAGTGGCAAGCTGGGATGAATCAGCGGCCACCTGCTCACCTCTGACCCGGGCTCAAATGGTGAACGAAGTCTGCCGTCAGGGCGCTGCCGAGGGACTGGACACCGCCGGCGCCTGCCGCACCGGGGTGCACGAGATCGCGGTGGTGAGCAGCCGGGGCACCCGCGCCTACCACGCCGGCACCTTCGCCGGGCTGATTATCACCACCCGCAGCGACACCTCCGCAGGCTGGGCCAAGGGCGGCTCCTGGCGCCTGGAGGAGATCGACTACCCGGCCTTGGCACGCGAGGCGGTGGACAAGGCGGTACGGGGACGAGATCCGCAGCCAATCACCCCCGGCGAGTACACGGTGGTGCTGGACCACTACGCCGTTGACGACATTCTGGAGGCGCTTTCCCTGTACGGCATGGGAGCGCAAGCCGTGCAGGAGGGCCGCAGTTGGATGTGCGACCTCCAGGGCAAACGGGCAATGAGCCAGCCGGTGTCCATCTGGGACGATGGCGGGGCGCTGGATGGCTGGCCCATGCCATTCGATGTGGAGGGAGTGCCACGCCAACGGATGGAACTGGTCGAGAACGGAGTCGTAAACGGCCCGGTGCACAACACGTACACCGCTGCCCAGGATGGAGTGCAATCCACAGGACACCAGCAGTATTTCACTGGCCCGCCCATCGCCTCCAACCTGTTCATGCGACCGGGCAGCAGTTCGGTGGAGGAGCTCATCGCCTCCACGGAGCGTGGGCTGTACATCACCCGGTTCTTCTACACACGCCTGTCCCACAACCGGGGCTGCGTGATGACCGGCATGACCCGCGACGGCACCTTCCTGATCGAGGACGGCGAGCTGCGCCACCCAGTGAAGGACCTGCGCTTCACCCAGTCCTACGTCGATGCGCTAGCTGGCGTAGAGGGCGTGGGCGACGAGGCCAAGCTGGTGCTCAACGAGGTAGGCTTCGCCACCCGCGTACCAGCCGTCAAGCTCGCCAGCTTCAACTTCACGGGGGTTACGGTGTAGGCATGTTGCAGGAGTTATATGACAAATTGGTAACGGTTGGCGTTATTAACGTCGTGTGTTAATATCAGTTGAAACCCTTTGCCAACAGGGAAACAGAGCTTGCTTTCTGGGGGCAATACTCTCGCCGGTTACCCCCAGACATCAGGCGACGGACGCGAATGAGGCTCCAGCGAGTGGTATCCGCTGACGACTTGTTGGATTTGCTGGTTCCTCCCTCATTCCGGCTGGAAATGTTGAGAGGCAACCGGGCAGGCCAATTCAGCATACGAGTCAATAACCAGTGGAGAGTTTGCTTCACTTGGACTGACGAGGGCGCCAGGGAAATTGAAGTAGTTGACTACCACTCTTGAGGTAACGGCCGTGGAAGAAAGCCAGCCCATACATCCCGGCGAACACTTGGCTGAGATTCTGGACGAATTGGAAAATTAGCCAATATCGCTTGGCGACGGCGATTGGGGTGTCTCCACGCCGCATCAACGAGATAGTTCACGGTACGCGCTCAATCTCGGCGGATACAGCTCTGCGAATTGGTAAGGCCTTGCGAATGTCGCCGGAGTCCTGGATGAACCTGCAAAAGATGTATGACCTCGAAAAGGCGAGAGGCTCGACCGACGTGAGTCAGATCGAGCCTCTCGTTCCTGAACCCGCAGGAATTCCTGTCAGCGAGATCGCCGACTAACCCCCGTTGGCCTCCACTTCCGCAAGAAACTCTAGCACCCGCTTGGCGTACTTCTCCGGCTCGTCGGAGTGGGGTTTGCACTCTCCCCACTGGCTGTTGGGGACATTGCGATGGGCCATCTCGGCCACGGATCTGGGGTGCACGTCGTTATAGCCGGGCATGATCATCGTGGGGACACGGATGCTCCGCAGCATTTCCTTGGTGCTGCCCAGCGTCGGGAACGGCCCGCCGAACAGGGCGTGGGCGGTGTCCCGCATCACCTGGATGAACTCCTCGGTGTCCATCGCCTCCAGGTTCTTGCGGTACTCCGCATCGGTCTGGGCGATCTCGGGGCTGTAGGGGGCGAAGCGGTCGTCGGCATCGAAAGCGTCGATCACTGCGCCAATGCCATCTGCAGCCGCGATCTCCATGCTCTTGAACACCTTGGACGTCAGGTAGCCGTCGCAGATGACCCCACCGGCTATGTTGGACGGGAAGATAGCCCGGACGCGTTCCGGCCGACGATAGGCGCAGCCGAAGGAGATGGCGGCACCGAATGACCCGCCGCCCAGGATACTCTGCTCGAGACCCAGCGCGTCCATGAGGCCGAACACGTCGTCGCACACCATTTCCCAGGTCTGCACGACCATCGGGCTGCGCGACTGCCCGCCGAACCGCCGGTCGTAGACGATGACCCGGTGCTCCTGCGACAGGGCCCCCACCACTGGCGAGTAGCTGCTGGCCACGCCCTGCAGCCCGCCGGGCGACAGGATGATGGGAGGGCCGCTGCCGTTCTCCTCGTAATACAGTTCCGCGCCATTTACCTTTGCAGTTGCCATGGTCGGGCCTCCTGAACGTAGCATTCGGGGTCCAGTCGATGCCGATTATAGGGGTGAGGGCCAGAACTCGGCAAAGGTTGACCGGATCTATGGCCGCAACTACGATTCCAGCACAGCCAACCGAGGCAGAGGCGGAACTATGGCCGGCCAGGATTATCAGTTCTTGGTTCAAGGGGTGGAACAACAGCTACTCGAGTTCCTCAGAACGTTCGAGGCGATCCAGAACGACATGCGCATCGAGCGGTTGGGCGAATTTCAGGCCCAACTGCGGGAGGTGGTGCCGGACGGTTTCTCGGAATTGACCGGCAAGCTCCAGCAGGTCGAGCCTGCGGAAGACCTGCGGCAGTTTCACGACCTGTTCGTAGCCGGTACCAGGCATTGCGGCAACGCCTGCGCTGCCTTTCTCGGCGCCGACGCAAACGGCTATTCCCTGACGGCCATGGACATGCGCCGGTCGCTGTGCCGGGGGCTGCAGGTGCTGTACAGCATCCGGTCGCACACCCCAACGCTTTCGGAGTACTGGCTGCTGTCGGATGCGTTGGTGAAGCGGGAGGCGCGGGAGGCGCTAGCAGAAGAAGCAGACGCGCCAGTCGGGGTGATTCACCGCCGGCGCACCGCACCGCTGGCCGACTACTCGCTGTACGTGCCGGAGGGCTACTCGCCTAGCCGGAGATGGCCGCTGATCGTCAGTCTGCATGGAGCCTACGGGCGCGGGGACCATTACATCTGGTCGTGGCTGCGTCCCGCCAAAAGCCGGGGCTATATTTTGCTGGCCCCCAAATCCCTGGATGTCACCTGGTCTATCCTTGAGCCGGAGCGGGACGCTCAGTCGGTAGCCGCGATGCTGGATGAGGTTTGCGACGAGTATGCCGTGGGCCGGAGCCGGGTGTACCTTTCGGGCCTGTCCGACGGCGGGACATACACTTACCTGCTGGGACTGAGCCGTCCGGAACTGTTCGCAGGGATCGCGCCCATCGCGGGGGACTTCCACGGCATGATGGACGCCATGCTGCGCCGCAAGCAGGGGATCGACTTGCCCATCCATATCGTCCACGGGGCCCAGGACCACATCTTCTCCGTGGAGACGATACGCAGCGGGCACGGGCTGTTGACTCGCCTTGGCTACAACGCGACGTATGAGGAACTGCCGGACTGGGGCCACTCCTACTGCTCTTTCGTCAACGAAAGGTTGGTGATGCCTTGGCTCGAGGGGCTGGGAAAGTCCTGACCCCTCCACTTGTGAGCTGGCACTCGGCTTTGACACCAACTTGCACTGCTGGTTAAATGCAAGCCACCCCAACGGCTATTGAGACAGGTGAGCTATGAAAAGCAGCAGTATTGCGGGAAGTAAACCGTCCACTGGAAATCGAGGATATTGACATTGCGTCACCAGGGCCGCGCGAAGTGCTGATACGCACCGGCGCATCGGGCGTCTGCCACAGCGACTTGCACTTCGTCGAGGGTCTGTACTCTACGCCCATGCCCGTCATCCTGGGCCACGAGGCTGCCGGGACCATCGAGGCGGTGGGTGAACAGGTTGAATACGTAAGGCCCGGCGACCGGGTCATCACCTGCCTGTCAGTGTTCTGCGGGACCTGCGAGCGATGCACCGAGGGCCGCACGGTGCTGTGCTCACGTACCGGGCTGAACCGCACGGCCAACCAGACTCCGCGACTCAGCCAGAACGGGGAGGAGGTCACCCAGTTCGCCAACCTGTCCTCCTACGCCGAGCAAATGCTGGTGCACGAGAACGCGGTGGTCAAGATTGATCGGGACGTGCCCTTCGAGCAACTGGCCCTCATCGGCTGCGGGGCGACTACCGGCTTGGGAGCGGCGCTGAACACCGCCGCCGTGCGCCCGGGCAGCACCGTGGCGGTCATCGGTTGCGGCGGCGTGGGCCTGAACGCCATCCAGGGGGCGGCGCTGGCCGGCGCCCTGCGCATCATTGCCATCGACGCGGTGGAGACCAAGCTGACCCTGGCCCAGGAATTCGGCGCCACCGAAGTAATCGACGCCTCCGGCGGCGACGTGGTGAGCAAGGTGCGGGACCTGACCAATGGCGGAGTGGACTACTCCTTCGAGGCCATTGGCAAGAAGGAGACCGCCGAGCAGGCCTTCCATATGCTTCGAGCCGGCGGCACCGCCACCATCATCGGCATGATCCCCCAGGGCACCAAGATCGAGCTGGACGGCCCTTCGTTCCTGCGCGAGAAGCGCATCCAGGGCAGCAGCATGGGCTCCAACCACTTCCGCACCGACATGCCGCAATACGTAGAGTTCTACCTCCAGGGCCGCCTCAAGCTGGACGAGCTAGTCTCCCGCCGCCTTGGCCTCGAAGACATCAACGAGGCCTTCGAATACATGAAAGAGGGCAGCGTGGCCCGGAGCGTGATCACGTTCTAGGGGTTCTGCAACTCGCCGAGGGGCGGTAAGATAAATAACAGATCCGCGGAGTGGCTGGAAGAACACCCTTCCCGCTGGGCAACCAGGCATCGGGAAGGGTGCCGGGCATAGCCGCGGATTCGCTTTCGAGAGGAGCGTTAGGGGAAATGAAGAAGAGAGGCATAGTCAAGGGGCAGACCATAGTGTTCGATGAGCCGCTGGGACTGGAGGAAGGGCAGAGCGTGGAGATAGAGATTCGAACGATTGAGGAGCCCATTCCTAACACCCATATTGATCGCGAATTATGCGGTTCGCCCCAAAATATCGGTGATGAAGAAACCGGCACATCTCAGGGAAGGGCCGCAAAAGTATTCCTCGCCATACCAGCAGGGAGAAACCCGGTCACCAACGAGATGGTGAACGAATTGCGAGAACAATTGGGAATTTGATCTTTGCTTTCGCTATTCGATGTTAACGTGCTCGTCGCTCTTTTAGACCAAAATCACGGAAGGCACGAGATAGCCTCAAATTGGTTCGATACCAATTCTCTTGACGGGTGGGCGACCTGTCCAATCACGCAAAACGGGTGCATACGACTACTGTCACAACCTGGTTATCCCAACCCGCTTAGCGTCAGTGAAGCTATAGGGAATTTACGTACTGCTGTTTCCGACGACTACCACCAATTTATACTCGACGATATCAGCATCCTGGATGGAACCCGCATAAACTCCAGGGGGCTTTCGGGACATCGCCAGCTCACCGATGTCTACCTGCTCGCCCTGCCGGTCACGCACGACGCGCGGCTGGTGACTCTGGATACTCACATTCCCCGAATCGCCGTGAAGGGAGCAACCGAAGACCATTTGGTCGTTATCTGACCCCCTTCAGTACTTCCACTCCGGGTCGCGCTTGTGGAGGAAGGCGGTGATGCCCTCGTAGGCGTCTTCCTTGAGCAGGTTGTCGACCATCACTTTCTGGGCCATGTCGTAGGCGGCCGGGCGGTCCAGTTCGATCTGCCGGTAGAAGGCGGGCTTCCCAACAGCCAGGGTCTGGGCGCTGGCGGAGGCTATCTGCCGCGCCAGGGCGGCGACGTTGGCGTCCAGTTCACCATCGGGGACCACGCGGTTGATCAGGCCGATCTCCAGCGCCTCGGACGCGCTTACGGGGGTCCCGGTCAGCAGCATCTCCATGGCCTTCTTGGTCGTGGCGACGGAGCGGGCCAGCGCCACGCCGGGGGTGGTGCAGAACAGGCCGATCTGCACGCCGGGGGTGGCAAAGGCCGCTGACTCGGCGGCGACAGCCAGGTCGCAGGTGGCGACCAGCTGGCAGCCGGCAGCGGTGGCGAGGCCCTGCACCTGCGCGATCACCGGCTTGGGCAGCAGCCGGATGGCCTCCATTACCTCGGTGCACAACGCGAAGACGGCGGTGTAGGCCTCGGCGTCTCGGTCGATCATCTCATTCAGGTCGTGGCCGGAACTGAACACCGGACCCTCTGAGCGCAGCACGACCACGCGAACGTCATCATCGTCCTCGAATTCGCGGAACAACTCCTGCAGTTCGCCCAGCAACTCCGTGGGAGAGCGCGTTACGGCGTCCGGGGTTATTTAGCGTGAGGAAGGCCACTCCTTCCTGCAATTCGTAGCGAACAAGTTGTCCGATCATTGCTGCCTCCTTGGCTTGATCAGGGCGGCGATACCCACCCGTTGATGGTTCGAGTTTAGCAAACCGCTGATGGCTGCGCTACGCCGGCCGCGATACCGCCAGCGTGGCCAGCATCTTCGCAACGAGCTGCCCATCAGCGAAGGCGTCGGCGCGGCATACGCTGACGCTGCGACCAGGGCGCACCACCTCTGCGCGAGCCACCAAGCTCTCTCCCGATGCTGGCGCCAGGAAATTGAGCTTGTACTCAATGGTACCTACGGTGTCGCCAGCGGAGCTGAGGCTGAGGGCTGCAAGAACGCAGGCGTCGTCCAGAATGGCCGCGACAAAGCTGCGGTGAATCAACCCGGCAGAGCTGCAATACCCTTCTCCGGCAGGCAAAGTGATTTCCACGACACCTGGCGAAACCGACGTGAATTCGCCGCCCCAGCGCGAGGCGGCGGACTCGTTGCGGAAAGTCTCGGCAACGCGGTCAGCGTAGCCTGGATCTCGAGGCTGAAACTGGGGCATTGGGATGAACAGCCTATAAGTCGACGGCCTCTTTGAACCGGCGCATCATTTCGATGTGGTCGCCGGCCGTCTTCAGGCCCGCGCGGCGGTTCTCAATGGATAGGTGCGACGCACCCATTTCGCGCCAAGCGGCGACCCTGTCGCCCCAATCTTCAGGGGATGAGCCAGCGGTACCCATTCGACCGTCCAAGCCCAATTCAGAGGGGTCGCGGCCATACTCGGCCATATAGTTGTGGACCTTCTCCCGTAGGGCATAGCCGGACTCGTCTGGCCCAAAGTTGGGGCACCAGCCGTCGGCGATGCGCGCCACACGGCGCAGGGCCACGTCGGGCGGGATGGGCGCCAGGGGGCTGCCCACACCCAGCCAGACCGGGATGGGCCGCTGCACCGGCAGCGGGTTGATGCCGGCGTTGGTTATGTCATGCCACTTGCCGTGGAAGTCCACCGACTCCTTGGTCCACAGCTCGCGCATGACCTCGATCTGCTCGGCGCTGCGGGCACCACGGTCCTGGAAGTTCATGCCCAGTGCCTCGAACTCGACGAAATTCCAGCCCACGCCGATGCCAAGTCGCAACTTCCCGCCACACAGCACGTCGATCTCGGCGGCCTGCTTGGCAACCAGCGCTGTCTGCCGCTGCGGAAGGATGAGAATGCCAGTCATCAGGCCCATATTGGGCGCCACCGCGGCCAGGTAGCCCATGGTTGTTAGCGACTCGTGCACCACCGACTCGTGGTTGTACATCCCGAACAGGGGATGATCGTAGGCGCTGGCGTCGGCACCCAGCACGTGGTCGGCTATGAACAGGTAGGAGTAGCCCATGTCCTGGGCAGCCTGCGCGAAATCGCGGATGGCCACCACGTCGGGCTCAATCTCGGTCTGCGGGAATATAACTCCGATTTCCATGTATGCTCCGGTGTGTTGGAATGTGTTGCGCCAGATAGCTACGATACGATCGCCTGCAGTCAGGCTAAAGGATAGCGCCAGCGTACCCCGGGGAACCTCCCGAAGTCGGAATCAGCAGAATGAACTTCCGCATCGTATTCCAGAGCCAGGGAAGCAATGTGCGCGTCGGGTACCATATTGGGTCCGCTGCCTGGGACACTTAGGAATCGCCGAAAAAATGCCAAATGTTGAATACCCGGATCTAGAGGAACAACGTGATGGTATTGAAGCCACTCCCTGACGTGATCAGCGGCATCAACCGGTCTCAACGGCGAGATCACGAATCCAGAGTGAGCCATCAATCGAACAAAGCCGGTGGTTACCACCCAGGGCAAGCCAATGGCTTCATCACCGTTTAGCAATTCTTCCCACCAATTGCGAGCTACTTCGTACCGTGGGGCTCCGTCATTGTAGGCATAGACCAAGAGGTTGATGTCCGGGACAATCATGTTCCTCTACCAAACTCCTGGACCCTCAGGAAATGTTCAATGTCCTCTTCTTCCAACAGTTGCTTCATTTTTTTGGGGTCGTCCATGCCTGGCAGGAAACCGCTGTGGTTTGGGATGACACGGAACTTGGTTTTTTCTGACTCATGCTTTTGTTCCGAGGTGGCAGTCGCATCGAGGCTCAGAATCACCACCTCCGCGCCCTCCTCGAGATCCAGCGGCTCCAGGGGTGTCAAAACCCCGTTGGCAAACCTGGCCCTCACTTTCCTGATCATCGCTGTCCTCCCGCTACCATTTTACTCCAGCAGGCGGGACTTCTGCGCCTCGAACTCCTCGCGGGTGAGATAGCCCTGCTCCAGCAGGCGAGCGAGGCGCTCCAGGTCGCCCACGACCGACGTGGTGTTGGCCGCCGGGTCCTGGGCTACCGACCGGTCGACCTGGCGGACGTCGGTGACTCCGCAAAGTCCCATGGCCACGCTCAGCTCTTTCGCGCAGTATCTCCAGGCAGTGGGCGACGCCATCCTCACCGCCGACGGACAGTCCCCAGAAATGGGGACGGCCCACGAAGGTGGCCTTGGCGCCCAGGGCCAGCGCCTTCAGTACGTCGGCACCCTTGCGGACACCGCCATCAAAGTAGACCTCCAGCCGGTCTCCCACGGCGTCGGCGATGGAGGGCAGCATGATCGATGGAACCATCGGTTCCCTGCAGGGCGTGTCCGCCGTGGTTGGAAACCACCAAAGCCTCGGCGCCGTTCTCAACGCAGAGCCGGGCGTCCTCGGCGTCTGGATCCCTTGACCACCAGAGGCATGGAGCTGATCGACCGCAGCCATTCGAGGTCGCGCCAGTTGAGAGCGTGTTCGAAGCTCTCTAGCGAAGTTTCCCCGGTTGGGCAGATTGGGCAACTCGATACCGTCAAAGTTCTTGAGGATACGTTCCTGGTCCAGGGTGTAGGCGTAGCGGTGTTCGCGCTCGCGGGAGTTGGCGCCCAGGTTGTCCACGGTGAGCATCATGGCCGTGTAACCGGCGTTTTCGGCGCGGCGGACCAGTATCTCGGTAAGCTCACGGTCCTGGAAAAAGTAGAGCTGGAACCACAGGGGATTGTTGGCTACCTGGGCCACTTCCTCGATGCTGTAGCTTGAGGCGGTGCTGAGACCCATGATGGTGTCGGCAGCAGTGGCAGCCCGGGCCGATGCCAGCTCGCCGGCCGGATGTGCCCGCTGGTGAGTGCCGGTGGGGGCCAGCATCACCGGGAGGCTGATGCGCTGGCCCAGCACCTCCGTTGACATATCCCGTTCGCTTACGTCCACCAGCACGCGGGGGCGCAGCTTGACCGCCTCCATGGCCCGGACGTTGGAGGTGTTCGTTGTCCAGTCCGGCGCGTCGAGATCCCCAAAGAGCCGGTCGAACAGTGCTTTCGGCATTGTCTCCTTGGCGCGGGCTTCGTAGTCTCCGATGGTCAGCAGGGAACTCGGCGTGGTCATGGCATTCTCCTGATATCTATCGCGTGAATTGGGGTGGCGAATTCGCTCTTGCAAGTTTCTACAGGGCAGGTTTCTACAGGGGTGGAGGAGATGAACGCTTGCGTATCCTCCAGTAAATTGCCAGGGAGATTATAGCCAACAGCGGAAAAAGTACGACCCATCCGCCAATAATCTTGCCAGCGATGAAGTTCAGAAACATGTAAACGAGAAAGCCGCCTGTCAGGACCGGCACCATCATAACCAGTATCGCGGCCGCGGTGCCCAACTTGCTCGCCAGTCTGGAGACTTTCGGGGGTCAACGGTCCCCATTCTCGTTGCTCTGGCTCAGGCCTGCACATCACCCTGCGAAGGCTGGGGGAAGAGGACTGTTCCTCCTCGTGATCTGACACAGAAAAGCAAATAGAAAGAGTGCCCAAATACT